TTGGTTATTACCTAATTGAAATTGTCTGTAGTTTACGCAAGTAGTAATAAGTAAGCGAGTTTTGGACACTTTGCATCAGCCGTGGTCACGGTATGGCTCGTCCGGCCGTAGTTAAATAAATTAAAATTAGTCTACTAATATATTTCGCGTTAATAACACGCGAAATATATTAGTTAAAAGTGAATTATTAATATTATGACGTAATTACCTATAAATGAAGTCGGTGAAACGGGCGGAACGGCGGCATCGTTGCTCTAATGGTATCAATGAATGGTTTATCTTATATTATTTCTGAAATAAGTTGGACTTGGTCTGGAAATCTGGATACTAAATGGGTGGTATGGAAGGTATGCCGATCGGGTCACAGAAAACCATCCACACACGAACAAACTCAATTGCGTTTCGGTTTCAGTCCGAAGATTGCCGAATATCTAAGGCAAAAATAGTGCGACAGCACATCTTATTTAGTTCTTATATAGCTGGAGAATTTCACCTTCATTCTATGCTTGTTCTCCTCTATCACAAAATAAGTTATAACATAAAAATAAGGGTATATAACGTAGTATTAAATCCGCATAGCATTTATTCAGGTATAGATCTTTAGTACAGTATAACGTCTGTCCCTGTTAGGACTAAAAAAGTAAAAATAAGAAATAATTCAAATGAATAATTGTAAGTAATATAACAGCGATGCTATTAGCTAATAAATTTCCAATCAGATACAATGCTTCCAATTAAGGTTCTATAAAATATAGGGGATGATAACGCACGTCGTAATTGGGGAATGTAAGGATAATTTATGGGGCCACAGAGCACCCCACTAGATACCGTAGACCCGGGGTAATCTAACTTTGTTCATTACCTTTAACTATTTATTGACCTTCGAGACTTTTATAGATCGCGTAGAAGGGGCGAATCGAACTAAAAGGCTAAGTTCCTTTATCAGAGTATCTATATACGCCTTTAAAATAAATCAAATCCAGTATGATATTTAAGTATTGTCTGTAGTTTATTTGAGTATACTTTAAACGGTTTGAAACACAGTATATGATGGTGCTAGAGGCAGAGTGGCCAATAACAATAACATGATCTTCAATAAGAAATTGTAATAATGAATTTGTACTTTTATTTCTGTAAGAATTATGTTAACATATTTCGGTCACCGTGTTCTTGTAAATTAACTTTTGAGACTATAAAAATATACATATTAAGTTAAGTCGTAAAATTGCAGTTAGGCTACTTTGCCTCTAGCAGAATCATATTGTATTAGGTAATAAATTTTTCGAGTGCCCAGTGACGAATGTTATAATTAAAATAAATATATTTCGCGTATCAAATTGTTAAAACTGTTATTTTAGTCCCATAATGAATTAGCAAAGTATGTAGACATTAACGTGTTATTTAAAATATGATAAAAATATCTGAATCTATTAATATCAATTATGAAGTTTTAATTTGGTGTGTTTTATTTTATTATTATTTTGCTTTTCAAAGAAACATATTATAATAAAATACTGTCTTTATTTTATACGAGTAGTACACATAAAACAACACTTTAACAGATTAAAACGCGATATATAGATATTAGTTAAAATTATTTTCAACCGTCCCTACGTATCGGATGCTATTCAGCGGCCGGTCACGGGGAGACAAGTTAAAAATAATTTTCGAAAAGTTTAACTGATATATATTTTAATGTTTTTTTTACTACTCGCATAAATTACAGACAATTTTTTATTATAATATGTTTAAGTATAAAGTAACATAAGATTTTCGAGTAATCAGCGCATTAAGTTACGAAATAGCAGAGAGTAAAAACTTAACTCGAACTTAACCAATCTCGGGATATTGCACAACTTTTACTTTGTTAAAACTTTTATAACCATTACGTCCGGTGTTCACTAACTTCTGAGCTTCTATGTAAGTAATTGTTTTAACCCAAAAAGTATTTTTCTATTATAAAAAAATAAAAAATATCTTAAATGTATAGGATGAATTGAAGTAAAGGATATTCAGTATTAATTCGCCTCTGTAGCGAAAAAGTTAAAAGTGTTGCCGTTTTCTCGCTACATAACTTCTGAACACATTTCTGTGTCTGTTGTGTTCGGTTTTATTTACAGGAAAGTTGATCAGACTTCTATGCACTGCCCGACCGAAACGATCTATTGCTTTACCGGGATAAGATCCCAGAACTTCTCGTGTTTAGCACAATTCAAGGCAACGTTTGAGCTATCTCGCTACAGAGGCGGTTAAATAATTAATATCCTTTACTTAATTTCATTTATACACTTAAGATAAAAAACAATAGCAACAATAATAATTTTAGCAATAATCTAGTGGATTAAATCTTTGAATATTAAAAGAAATAAGCTTTTGTAACAAGCTAATATTAAAGATGTACTCGATTACAATCTTTATTATCACCTTCTAATGTATTTATAGTTTATAGTCTAAGAGCTGATTAATTAATGACTATGATTTAATTATTTTTATGTTAAAATTGTATGTACATACATATATTTAAATATAGATTGTGTCTTTACCTTTTAAATATATTAATGAAATTAAACACAAATTTAAATTTACGATAATGACAGCTTTACCTAGTTTTGGATCTTTGGATGTTTTAGCATCAGTTGATCTTCTGTTAGAGCTTAAGCTATGCTATCACTTGGACGAAAAGCCTACCAGGTCTTAGACTATAATTGAACAGCTAGAGGCGTAGTAGGGAGGCTAATGAAAAATCAATTGAATCGCGTGCAGGTATTGATAATTTCCTTCAGAATATCATCGCTTCGTGACAGGAATGATAATATCACCTTTAATGACATTTTAAAAGCACCTACAGCGATTATCTTTCCTGACTTTAGCGTGCAATTTCTTCACTAATGGGTCATTTAAATGATACATAGTCATGTTCAGACGGATAACATTATTTATGTTTTTTTTTATAATTTCGTCCATAGTGCTTAATCAGCTAAGAACGACGGGGTCTCCCCTTCCTCGGTCAGAAGGGACCTGGTCTACTTATTCAGAATTATATATACTTATGCTAAACTTAACTTATTATTATTACGCTATCTATATCTATTTTTTGAAATAAAATTTTTTAACCCGGTGGGGATTTAACCAACGACCCGTTGATCATTAGCCTTACATTGGTAACATTAGACTAACGAGCCCGTCGAATTATTTCTTTTGAGTTGCTAGTACCGGACAGTAATAATAGATCCGGGATTCGAGTCCTAGACCTCACTGGGATACATAAAATGTATTAATCTCGCAATAGAGAATTTCCCTCTTTATTTTTATTTGTACAATCAATTCGAATTGATGCTGCACAATGTTATTTGTCACTCCCGGAATTTAGACGAGTGACATTCGTAGAGCTTTAGTTGGAACTGTTTCGGAAAATACGTTCCGATGTTGATTTAAAAGGGTTTCCAATGTGTATCCTGCGCGGCAAAATGTTTTTTTTCCTTTAAACTGTACACATAATAATTCCTTTTACTAGAATGTATACTTGTAGAATGTATTGTTTAATCAACTATCATAAGTCTCAATAATCAAACGTTTTGTTGAGCGTACTCTTGAGGTTTGAATCCTGTAAGAATACTAAATATTGATTATCACGCAATCAAGGTAAAAAAAAAATACCATACTTATACTAATAATATTTCATTGCCTGTATATATATAACATTGAGTGAAAGAGCTCCATGCCCATAAACGTACATATTTACATAACGTAAACGTATGACCTCATTATATACTAGCTGAGTCAGCGACTTCCTCCGCGTAGAAAAGTTATTTTCGGCAACCAAATTGTTTTTGCAAATCTGCTCTTCATCTGTTACCCACGACGTCGGTCGCGGCCCGTCGTTCTTGTAAGTTTATCTTAAAAGATAGACATATAAAGTCGCAGACATTTTTTAAATAATTTGAAAAAGGAATAATTCATTCATACATATTTTTTAGGTTTCTCGAACCGTTTCCGAAGCATATGCAAGTGAAACCCACAAAGGTACTGTCTATAGTTTACGCGAGTAGTACACATTTAAATAAAACACTTTAACGGTTTAAAACACTTTATATATTAGAAACGTTAAAAGAATTTTCAAATAAGTTGTAACTAATATAAGTCGCGTTTTAAACCGTTAAAGTGTTTTATTTAAATACCCACAAAGGTGTTTTCCATACATAGTTAAATAAGTATTTATGCGTAAGGGGTGCGTCGTAATTTATTCAATAAAACGGCATCAAATTGTAAAAGTTATTATCAATAGGCTTATCGGGCAACGTAATAAATCGGTGGCGGGCACGATATTTGCAATTTAATGGAAACATTATCATAATCGATGGGCAAATTGCCTTTTTTAGTTTTTCCCTCATTTCCTACCTGGCGACAATTTTTTCTCTCATAAATCTGTTCGTCGACTTCGTACGGAATCTAAAGTCGAGTTCTCGTGTATTACTTAAAAGAAGCAATCTAAAGAAGTTCATCTACTGTACATAATCTATGTGGGCACTCGTCTAAACTGGGTTAGGAACTAACAGGAATATATAAGAAGACAACATTTTATGATTTAAATAAAACAATTTAACGGTTTAAAACGCGACTTATATTAGTTACAACTTATTTGAAAATTATTTTAACGTTTCTAATATATAACGTGTTTTAAACCGTTAAAGTGTTTTATTTAAATGTGTACTACGCGTAAACTACAATAAAAATAATACTTTCGCTTCATATGCACATATTCAATTATAAATTTAAAAATGCATCGAAATACTAATATCATAATTTTTGACATTAAAAATATATACTTAATGTGTCGTATATATATAAAAAAAATGAAAAGGACATAAATTATTCCCAAAAAAAAGTACAACACTGACTGTAAAACATATTTATTACAATTATCGTTTTACGGTCAAATATCGATAGATGAAATATCGAAACAGAAAATATCAGATATCCCAGAATAGAACCCTGCAGATTCATCGCTTCTCCAAGCTAATCTGATAGTTCTCTTTATCTCGTAGCATAATTGAGAATGTGCTGTTAAGATTTGGTATAGCACTGGGTTCCTCTGTGCCAACAATCTTATAGCGACGTAAGATCGTCGTTAGAGCTATTTTTATCACTAGTAACGCGAACTGATAACCTGGAAATAAGTTAATGTTAGTAATAAAGCCAGTACTACCACCCGAAAGGTCGGGTGGTAGTACTGGCTTAACTGTTTACACTACAAACAATACATATTATTACTTACCGACACAATTTCTTGTACCTAAACTAAAGGTAGTTATTAGACTACTCTTCTCATCAGATAAGTATCTCTCTGGTCTGAAGCAGTGGGCATCTGGGCCCCAATAATTTGGGTCTCGGTTCACCCCCCACACAAATACGATAACGGCTGTGTTATTTGGTAGAATTACACCAGATGCTAAAAGCAAAAAAAAAAATTGTAGGTAGTTGAAAATATTTAAAGCCGTTTCATATAAATTAGAATATGATGTAAATCGAATTATTTACAAAAAAATGCTGTATGCAAATTAAAACTTTATTTGATTAAAATGAATTTACGACGCGGACGGGATTCGAACTCCCCAAAAGTATGCAGTAAGAAGACCACTAAGTAATTTGCTTGACAAAAAAATGCGTCGGAAACTAATAAAAGTTTTCGATGTTAAATTTTCCGAAATTCGATCATCCATGTTTTCCTGATATTTGAACCCACCTCTCGCTCTTAACGATTAGGCAACATGTTAAACAGTTCAGCTACCAAGGTAATTATGAGTACATTTAAAGCAAATACAAAAGTACACCTTATCCTGTATGATTAGAGCAACTCACGTAAAACGGTTTCCTCGCAAACCTTTCGTACAATTATTGGTACGGGAGGAAAGAGTCTCAGCGATTCCTTTACAACCATATTTAGATATTTAAGGTCTTTCAGATCGCTCCTGTTTAATTTACGATTGGAATCACCAAGTACATCCATTAGTCTAAAAGAGAAAATACTTTTAGTTTTATGACGTAAAAACAAATGCAAACTTTTTGTAGTTACCCTTTTATACAAAATTATTGGACACACACAACATAGTTTCTCTGTTCATAAATTTTATGTACAAGCAGTAGACTTGCTTTATATAGAAACTTTTCGCCAAATACCAACTTCGACGGAACAGATGGCGCTAGCGTAGCAATTTTTACTTTGACGTCAGAGACATCCTCCATCTTTAGTCTCCCCGTGACCACGGCTGCTGCAAAGCATCCGAAACGTCGGGCTGAAGTTAAAAATCATTTTCAAATCACTTTAACTAATATACCGCGTTTTAAACCGTTAAAGTGTTTTATTTAATTTTTTATTATTTTTTTCCCACGATTCGAACACAAGACCTCTTGCTAGGTAAAGCATCGCCGAGTCTCGGAGCAGGTTATAATATTTTAATTAAACATAAAAATCGGTAAAGAAACTTTTAAGTAAAACGGTTTAATTTTTTGTGCCATGAAAATTACAAATACTTTAAATTTTGACATAATCATCATGTTTTATTCGTGTAGCCTTTTCATTTAATATCCATATTGAGGGGGTTGAGGAAAAATATGTAATCCGCCATTTTGTATCGGCGGCTATCTTACATTTATAATGTTATTATATTGTGATGTCATCTAAAATGTGAGTACCAAATTTCAGATCAATCTGACAAAGGGAAGGTGCTTAAATTTAAATTTCAAATTTTCATCCAAATAAATAAATTCCGTACGGGTCGAGCTTAATAAAACCCTTTAATAATAAAATGTATACTCATTGCTCTATAATATTTACTTTTGCTTAGTTGCTACAATAAATATTTTTTTTTGAAAAAAAAAATGACTGTCTGTAGTTTACGCGAGTACTACACATTTAAATAAAACACTTTAACTTTAGCGTTTTAAACCGTTAAAGAGTTTAATTTAAATATGTACTACTCACGTAAACTACAGACAATATCTGTAATACTTCTTTACATATAAATAAATGAACACATTCATATTTTTTAAATGAATTTTAATATAACAAAATTAGATGACGAGTTGAACGAATCATCAAATCGTATTACTTGTTACTGAAAGTTACCTCCCATACTAATGAAGAGCGTCTTAGCAACTTTTCTCGTAGTTAAATTCATCTAATTGTATTCAGCAGCTAATAGGCAAACTTGAAGGTATTAAAACGTCTGAAAACTTACTACGCTCGAGTATAATGAAGACATTAAATAAGAAGAAGAAGAAATTAAATCTATTTTAATATTTTTTTTAGGTTACTTTTAGCTTGATTGAAATTATAATAAATAAGACACTAAGACTTCATTGACAGGACCAAAACAAACATCGTGCAGTTTATAACTTATAAGTTTAGCTTATTTAAAAAATATAAATATCAATTTAGAATCGTTTTATTCTCCAAAAGTTTACATAAATACCTAGTAAAAAATTAAAATATTATCTGTACTAATTCCTAAGATTTCGAAAATTTAGTCCAACAAAAAAAAAACAACAGTACTTCTTTTCTTTGTGGTAATACGAAATTTTATTAACAGTTTAAAACGTGAAATATATTACTTAACTTATTTAAAATTAGCTGTGGCCGCGACTTCGTCCACGTTTAATAGTAACTTTGGGTAGAATTTTTAAATATTCAGGCTGTTTATTTATTTATTTTAAAAATTTATTGAGACACAATGTGTCATGTGTACACAATAAGATACAGTGTTGCACTGCAAAAGAGCTTATTAAGGTATTCATGAATACCTTAATAAGCTCTTTTGCAGTGCAACACTGTATCTTATTATGTACATACTGTATATACATGGTATAGTGTATTTTATATGCTAATTTGTGTACACTTTTATAGTTACTTTCGCATTTATAATATTAGTAAGTTCTATAAAAATAATTACAGTACATCCACACAACTTTTTTTTTATACCTTAATCAACCCCTTACTACCTTTTTTTCGTACAGTAAAAGGTTTTACAATGCATGTCATCGAAAAGCGCGCATACAAGGCAGCCTATCTGTGTTGTAAGTGCTACTTTCCGCAACACTCCCACTCTCACCTCACATCACTCCCAATCTAACTCCCACTCTCACTGCCATTCCCAAAAAGCCAAAGAAGTGTCCATTTCATTTCCATACAAACTTTCATCCCCCCTTTCAACCCCTAACAACCCTTTTTTGGCAATAAAAAGTAGCCTATGTGCTTTCACAGGCTTTAGAATATCTGTGTACTAAATTTCATTTAAATCGGTTCAGTTCATTCGGCGTGAAAGCCGGACAGACAGACAGTTACTTTCTCATTTATAATCTTAGTAGTGATTTATTTTAACTAATGTATACGTGTTTTAAACCGTTTATTTTGAAAACTAAAATGGTTGGTAATATAATAGCCTGTAAATACTTACTCAATGTAAATGTCCTCTTGTACTTTAGGATACATAGCCAACAACTTAAGAGTATTGCAAATGGCGACCGCGGATGTGTCGGTTCCGGCAAGCAAGAGCAGAGATATTTCATCGCGGAGCTCAACGTCCGATAAGCCGCTGTCTTTTCCAGATAACAGCATTAGATGTTCTAGGAAACATCTCGTACTTCCTACTTGAGACAAATATATATATATATAAATAACAGAAAAGTAATAGAGTAAATAGAGTAGATTAGGGTCATCCTCCATCTTGAGTCCCCCCCCGTGACTACGACTGCTGCATAGCATCAAACGTCGGGCCGAAATTAAAATAAATTAATTAATATATATCACGTTTTTAACAGTTAACAGTGGTTTACTAAAAAGAAATAATAAAAAAGTGAGCCTCATTGATAATATTTACTTTACTTTTTCTTTCAATTACTTTAGTTAAGTTTTAGTATCTGTAGCCTTTAGTAATTGTTGTTCAAGCATTGTCTGTAGTTTAGGCGAGTAGTACATATTTAAAAGAAGCACTTTTAATAGTTCAAAACGCGAAATGTTAAATACGGATTGACATTTCGGTTGCTTTGAACCAGCCAGCATTGATTTAAAACATATATAGAAATATTCATATAGATAAGACTTTACGAATATAGACATTTGTTTTTTCTTTTGAAAGAAGAAAAGTTCTGATGTGCTATCGTAAATTTTCACATTTTCCATACCTGACGCTTGATTATTGTATTCCTCCAAATCTAAATCCCTTAACTCCGTTCTTTTCTTTTGAATTATCTGAAATGAATTTAAAAAAGTTTAACTTCTTTTAAATTAAACTTTTAACTTTATTTAATTATGACAACCTTGGTGTACCAATGTGGTACCGATTTCTACCATAGATCCTTTATTATGAAAGAAGTGGACAGAGAAGCATAGAGTTCGCTTGATGGTATCTAATCCTGGTCTAAAGCACCAGGGGTCCCGAGTTCGATTCGGGAATCGAAAACATAAAAATGTGTTCGCCGCATACCAAAATACTTTACACTATTTACGTACATTGTAAGGTTTACAAAGAGACTAGAATTGAATTTTGAACTAACCTCGTCTGTAAGTTTGTATAAAATTCGCACTGATTCCTTAAAGTCAGCGTGTTGTGAGGTGAACTTGTAAATACAATCGGGCCAAAGCCAAATGTGGAACATTCTGTGCGTCAGTAGGTGAAATATATCTAGCACAGCCTTTATCACTGGGTTATCTGTTCTTTGGCCGGTTACCTTCACGCCTAATGCTGTTTCTGTGAACGATTAGAAATTATACATATACCAAGACCGATTATATATAGATTATATACACTTCACTATCAACATCATTACAAAGTACACAAAAATTACTACTATTCTAAACTTCTAAATTAGTCTTTAATTTTAGACTGTTGCTTAATATAATATGAAGATAACCTATGCTTTTCATTCAATCTAACAAAAAAATATTATTACAATAATTAATATAATCATGAAATATTATCTGTGGTCTCGGTAGCAGCGCGAAAAAAAAGTTAACTTTTTTAAATATAAGTAATTATTATGTTCATTATAGATATCGCGTTTAAAAAGCTAACGGTGTTTTTTTTTAATACCCCTCGTGCTGGTACATAATTATTAATATATAATATAATAATTTTAACGCTTCCATACTGCCAACACTTACTTATGGTGCACAGACATGGAGCCTCACCAACAAACAAGAAGAAAAACTAAATATTTGTCAACGAGCCATGGAAAGGTCAATGTTGGGTGTCAGGCGAATTGACAGAATGAGAAATACAGAGCTTCGATCATTCACTAAAGTGAAAGACGCTACAAAACTGGCAAGAAGGCTCAAATGGAACTGGGCAAGACACGTTGCCAGGATGTCAAACGGCAGATGGACAAAAATTGCGACGGAATGGTGGCTTCACGACCACAAACGGAAGATCGGCAGGCCCAAAATGAGATGGTCAGATGACATCCAGGAGCTTACAAAAACGTGGTGGAGAAAAGCAAGAAACAGGACAGAATGGGAAAAGATGGGGGAGGCCTTTTGCGACGCAAACATACATTGCGCATAATATTTATAATAGTTATAATATATTTTAAAGTGTCATAATGTAAATAATATAAACAAAGTCATAATGTAAAGAAATTAAAAATGTAATTTTATATTAATGTATGGAATAAAGGCTTATTATTATTATTATTATAATTTTAATACCTAAACCTATAGTATTTGTCTTTTCCTTTCGATGAATATCGCTGTGAAAAAAAAATTGGTTTTGGGGGTTTTGCAATGAAATTTAGCATCCAGATTCTTTGCGATTTTCATTAACCAGGACCCAAACCCAGGAATTTTGGTACCCTACACTACGTTTCAGCAGCCGTTATATTTTATACTTACCAGTTAAAGAATTCAAAGTAAATGCGCTCATGTAATTCCAAACACTAAACTGTCCGGTTCCAATCCGTTTATCACTCCCTAATATGTCAACTAATTCGTTACTCTGTTCGGTAATTACGTCGAAAAAACTATAAACTATCTTTAGACTAAAGGTGGGAACTAGAATCTTTCTGCGGGGTGTCCAGTATGACACTGAAAAAAAAAAAACTGTTTAAACTTTCAGAAGTTCATAAGTTGAAAAAAAATTACATATATACATAAATAAATAGAAAAAGGCTTTTGTTTTCTATTATTTTTGCTGTTTAATTCTGAATTATTTTAAAATTATTGATTTAGTTCATATGTTTGTAGATTTATCTTCTTAAATATGCTTTAAAATAATATTAAATGCATTAATATGTACTAAACTAAAACAAATTAATATATTTTTTGTTTTTAATTAGTTTATAATTAAATTTGATTTTATACAGTGTCTAAAATAAATGAAAACCATTTATATATTTTTTTTCATTTTCTAATATTTTACTCTCTTCGTAGTCATCAGAAAAGCTAAGACTGGTACCTATTGGTATTATTTTCTATGTATTATTCCTAACTTAGCTTCGTATCCTGTATCAATGTTTACCAGTGTCTTGGGTCAGTTAAGTAAGTATTGTTTGTAGTCCTCCCGAGACTTTTCGCTTTTTTAACCGTAAAAAGTATTTTCAAGTAATCTATATAAATCTTTTTTCAGGAGTTCATTTATTAGTCGCGTTACATTCTCTCTGAAAACTTTACGGATATAACTAATACATAATTTAAAATTCTAGAACTAATTTAAATACAACACTATTACGCTTTAAAAGGCGATATATGTTAGTTAAACTTATCGCGTTTTAAACTGTTCGTGTTTTTTTTTTAATGTGTACCACTCGCGTAAACTGCAGACAGTATTTCTCTAGATCTAAGATCTACGTATATTACTGAAATAATATGATAAAGAAAAGTTACAGCAAGTGGAAATTTACATGTTAACTGCAACTTTCAAGTGCAACTTTCTATTATCTCTTCTATTTGATCACAAGTAAAATTCTTATTGTGATATTTTAATTAAAATTGTGAGCCACTTTAATGAATACCCGCCTATGACAAGTATTGAACGAGAATGATTAGTTCCGCAGCCAGAAGATTAATCAATAGTGCATTGTCGACCTAATTAATTTTCACATCAACAAGACGACAAGATGCACAACGAGGATGCTTTTCGAATTAATGCACGTCAAAAAAATCCTAATTAATAAAATATTTCAACAGTATAAAACGCGCATTTGACGCACTCGTCATATGATAGGAATGTAAGGCTTATAATCAATCCGTCTTGGGTTCGATCCCCACAATGTCCATCGTGGTTCTAATTTTTCAATTTATATTTTTTCTAAAACATGTTACACTTCGTCTGGAAATCTGGATATTAAATGGGTGGTAGGAATATCGAAATTCCGTCCGAGTCACGAACCACGAACCACAGATGAAAAAGTCGTCTTCTGTCAGGCTGGGGTATATCACATACCCCAAGCTTGTCTGTCCTCCTCTACCATTCAAAAAACTAGTTAATTTATAGTTGATTTAACTTCTTTTAAATATTAGTAAATAGAATCACATATAATATATTTCGCGTTTTGAACAGTTTTTTAGTACTACTTAAAATCAAATAATTTAATCGACACACACACATAATATAATACACAAAAATTTATGACAATAAATAATAATAATAGATGCATGTGGAGGGACACCATTCGGCTTTTGTTTTACCTGGAAGTAGGCACAACGCCGATTTTCAGTGATGCCCTTGTGTAAACTACAAACAATATTTAACTATGAAAACTTTATTACACATGTGATTAAACATGATGGCACTTTATAAATTAAACGATGTACATTGAAAAAATATACAACTCGGGCACGACTGGCATCTACAGCGTTCCTTGTTGCTCTAACCATTGCGCAAGAGGTGCATGTAACACTATGTTGACAAAATTCGACGATGACATGTAGGATTCGGTAGCTCACTTGCTGAGAAAGCTATGGTTCAAAGTTCATGTTCTGTCCGAGTCGTAATTAAAAAAAATATATAATCGATTTTGAATGAACACTTAACTATATATAATAGGTATTATTATATGTTTTCTTGTATGGTCTGTCAATTGTAAAGTTTTGATTATAACGAACTTATCTCCGAAACCAAAGATTCACTTTTAAACATTGATGTTGACATGTAGAATAGACATATAAATGTATCTCGTAGAAGGTCCATATAGAAGAAATGTTAGTTTCATTTATATGTGAAAGGGGTAGAACACTTCTGTAAAATCTAATAAAATGACGTTACCTGGAGCAAATACAGCTGCGTTGCCAACTATGGATTTTAAGAAGTTGACTATGTTTTCCTTCTCGAGGCAGTACTTTAAAATGTATTCTGTGTCTTCTGGGTTTGTTATACCTAGAGCATAATTTGTTTACAATATTGCAAGGTTACACAACGATCACTTTGGTAGCTTAAGTCAATTGTTAACGCGTATTAAAAACGTATTAAGATTTTTTTAAATCGTAAGTTACTTCGTTATCTACTATTTAGTCGCTGCAGGATGCGAGGTCCAAGATTCGAAAACGGCATTTGTGATTTCAAGAAATATTACCCCAGGTGGTTATTTCTTGGTAGATGTTATTACCGCCGTTCTTTGTGATCACGGTAAGCCGTTCATATAGTACTTAGTCCAGGTTATCACTAGTTAGTCGTTAAAGGCCACCAACTCAAATGGAGTAGCTTTAACCCACCAGGTTTTTTACTCTTTGGAGCTGGACAAAGGTTTCATATGAAAGCAGACCTGTTTTAAATTGTGGAACTAAGTCATAACGACAGTAAAAGCTTAATTATTATATATAGTTATCCTTATTCTATAGAAGAATAGTTCTTACCTACATAGAGCTTTGGCCCTGTGAAAAGTCTTATAATTCCACCATTTTTAAAAGCGTACGCACTGAACTTTTTAATTAATTCAAAAATTACTGAAATAAAAAAAAATCAAGATGTTTAGTTAAAAAAGAAATTATGAAGTAATTATTAGCACACACATTTTTGTGTAGCGTGATAATCTTAAATAAATAATATACATTAATGACAAGTAGATTCGTTAAATCATTTGTGAGGCTCGATTACCACTAGGTCCAACATTGTTTTGTACCATATATATAATCTTTGCCTGAAAAAATTTGTGACCACTGTTCACAAGTAGAAAAAACCGTTAAATTTTAAGTGTGTTTCAGTTTCTGTCTGTGGATTTCTTAATTTAAAGCCAAATAGGTCGAGAGCGCATCTTTTTTAGAAGTTATATATGGCCGGGCTTATTCCATCTTCCTGTCATAGTAAAGTAATGACTAAAAACTGTGCCCTTCAGCAACTATGTAGCCATATAACCTATTAAATTACTAATAATATATTATAATAATAAATTACTTACGATCCGAAGTATTATATGAAAATTGAAGCATCAGAACTAGAGGAATCAAACCTGGAACCGCCGGGATCCGAGACGCCAGTTCATAAAACCTTCGTCTCTTGTATCGAAACCACATATAACATATTATCACTAGTACAGTATACAATATTATATTATACATTACGTCTAATAACGTTCGGATATTTTTAGAAAATGAGTCTAGACCGGCTTCGAGGATTAGCATACATGCGGTCAAGTGTGTGTCGGGTTCGTCGTGGTTCCGCATATAATTTACATCGTCAATATTTATATATACTAATATATAAAGCTGAAGAGTTTGTTTGTTTAAGCACGCTAATTACGGAACTTCTGGTTCGAATGATTTATTTTTGCTTAGAGCATTTATCGAGGGAGGCTATAAAACATTGGTTGTGATAATAGCAGCGAAGAACGGATGAGAAAATGATAATTATTTATGCCTGGGAGTCTCCCCGAAAAGGTTCAGATACCTAAAATTACAAAATAATGATTCCTCTTTAAATATCTAAAAAAAGTCCGTGACGCTTATGTCTTCTTTTTTGAATTAATTGTAAGAACGATGGGACGCGGATAAGTCCTGGAAGGCTTATTTAAAGGAGGATGTTTGCAAATTGATGCTCAAATTAATTATTCTACGCGGACAAAGTCGCTGACACGGCTAGTTTTAATATATTTATTGGAGGATAACTTGGTTGATGTTTTATTTATACAACTTTTTAATCTAATTTCAAAGGCTATTAATATATAAATTATTTCTATACATCATACTATTGTTTGTCACAAATGATATACAGAAACTTTTATACAGGTACAAACCATGAACATATTTATTTTTTATTAGTACCTGATATGGTTTATGGAACTCTAAAGATAAGCAAAACATTTCCTAATGTGTTGCAATATAGTCAATAAGAACGTGTGTGGAAAAATAGATATGATAATACTAATCAATACTTACTTTGACGGAGAATAGATTCTATTTATTTTGCAATCCTAAGATACCTCCGGGGTACAGAACTGCGCTAAGCCTGGGTTCAGAATTAATTGTTTCTGTTGGACAGTACACATACGATCGAGTATTTGGATTATACAAAGCGATGTAGATAGTATTTGCTTCCAATGAACATGAGAAAAAAATTAAAACAATTATTTCAGATCTCATCTCTAACAGGAGAGAAGTTTAAAAAGCGTAGACTTACCACGCCGCGCCATTGTATGTCTAAACTAATATATAAAGCTGAAGAGTTCGTTTGTTTGAATGCGCTGATCTCAGAAACTACTGCTTCAAATCGAAAAAAATGTCTTAGTTAGAGCATTTATCGAGGAGCAGGCTTTAAAACATCGCGCTGTGACTAATAGGAACAAAGAAACCGCGGGAAATGTTGAAAAATGGGGAAAATTATGCATGCTTGTTGGTTTCAGGTAGCCTACGCTGCGAAAACGGTTCAAGATACCAAAGAAACACGTATGAAAGATGAATCTTTAAATGATCTAAAAAATGTCCAACTGTGTCTATATGTTTCTGTTTTATGATTAATTTGCAAGAACGACGGAACGCGGACGACGTCGTGGGTAACAGCATAAATGTATAGAATTGAAAAAAACCCCCTGCAAACCCCGGGTTTGCAGGGGGGTTTTTATGCCCAAAGTCGCTGACATAGCTAGTTATAATATAAATTTGACCGAAGTAATATGACCCAGAGTTGAATCCGGGACCCCGTGATAGTCGCACTTAGCACTAGACCAATAAGGCAGTTGTTTAAATTTGTTATTCACTCACTCGTTTGAACTATGTTAGTATGAATAAAGCGTTACATAACATCAAAACCGTGCTTATTGAAGTTTTAACGAAGTTACAGAATCGATCTGAATATGAACCCAATATGCGAACGTATTAGCGCGTGCACTGAAACGAATAATATAGTTACGTGACGGATTTCGCGTCAAACTTAATATCAGATATAAGTTGTTATATAATATGTTCGACTGTATATATATTTATCTTGCATCTCTTCGCTGATATATCTATGACATCTTAAAGTTTTATAGATAGCCGTGAAACCAGTACGAAAAAAGTTTCTTATATTGTTACCGTAAGTACCGTATCGTAAGTCGTTAATGTTAAGAAAAGTTAATTTATATTTTTATAAAAACTTTTAAGTTAAATGGTTTTATTTTTTGTTCACTCAATACTACAAAAAAAAAATTTTGACATAATCATCGTGTTTTAACTAGTGTAGGTAGCCCTTTCATTTGATACTCATATTGATGGGGTAATATAAAAAATATGTAATCCGCCATTTTGTATCGGCGGCTAGTTATTGATTTTATCATATTGTACTGTCATCATGTCATTTTCTGTACTCCTAAGTCATAAAAAATAAACAATACATAATAATTATTGTTTGTTACCTAACTAAATTTTATATTAAATCAAAGTTGAACAATACAGTCAAGACTTTTTTAGGACTGGCAGACATCGAACCTTCGCATCAAAAACAAACAAGTTTGCTTGAACTATGCGAATATAAAAGTTTGTTCTTATATTTTAAAATTCAAATCTCATGACTTTTATCTTCACGAAACACGTTATTATAGGCTAAAATTAAATGGACGAAACCGCATAGTACACTAGTTCATTTGAGGCTGTATTCATACACAATGCTCCCTTGTGAATATTTTGGTGTCCTCTTTACTCCTGGCATATGTTGCAGTAAAATTGTAAATTATGACTTTGTTAAATGTCTTAATACAGCAAATTCTCGTACATCCTAATATTTTCTTTTATCTCTTATGTATTTTTTAATGTGTCTAAATATTTTATCTCTCAGATAAGATAGTGATAAAATTGCCTATACAGACATGAAAGGTGTGTATGATAATTTCTGGTTTTTACCAGTACGCTATAAAATGAAATGGAATCCGATATTTATATGTGATTGTATTGTTTTAATTAATACGCCTGTCTTCCCCAACTTCTTTACATAAGTCTAGCTTCAATAATACTACATATTAACTTTAACAAAGCTTCTAAATAGAAATCGATATAGATTGAAATAAAATACATACGACAGGACTTGAACCGTCGTCCACAGGTTCCGTTCTATGCTCTTACCAATTAAGCTACCGTGGTATACACGTCATCGTCGATTTTCTATTTCTATAATCGATTTTGAATTTTTATAGTGCCATCACGTGCAAAAACATTTCAAAAATATTAAAGCAAACTCAGTATATACGATGATGATGAGTATGATGGTATGATGTATTTATTACTCGATAGAGTATTTACAATTGCAGAATTGTTAGGTATATATCTTTGAAAACCAGTCGTTTTAACGTGTAACAATTTTGTTCATCTATCTACAACATCACATCACATTTTGTATGCAAGGCAATCTCAGTCGGCAAACTTGCGCCAGACTATTCCTTTTAAAACTTGTCGAGAGCTTACACTTGTTGTGGCCAAGTGACGTCATCAATTGACGACAAAAAACACCTCAGCATTAATTAAGATAAAGAGTTATAAATACTTGTCAGACTTCTTTAATGTCACAATTTGTCTATAGGTTAATATCCGCTTGTTTTCTGTTAGAGAAAAATGAATAAAACCAGCCAAGAACGAGTCTGATTCGCGAAAGAATGGTTTCATATTAAATCCTGTTTGTCACCGTAAGGACTGGGCCGAACACATTTCTATGTACGTGTCACTGATCGCTTCTTTTACAGGCAAGCTAATGATTCCCTGCGATTCGAACCAGGAACCAAGAAATGCTAAGCACCACGTTTCACAGTATTGACAAGTACCTTTCAGTGCTTAGTTAATACCTCTTATTGTTTCAGTATTTTTTAACAACATTAATTTAAATAAAACACTTCTGCTATATTTTCTGTACTTAACGACAGTAGTACACATTTAAATAAATCACTTCGAATTGTTTAAAACGTGAAATATTTTAGTTAACTTAGTTAACTACTACCCGAAGCGAACACGGTTGGGTGGTAGGGTAGCAACCGAAACGTCAGACCAAGCGGATCATTACGGAAATCTTTATCTCTGAATAACATCATCTCGCTGGTTGTAGCTGGTTGTCCAAAGCCCGAGCTACGTTTTCTGAGGCAAGTGAAGGTCTCAAAAATCGCATAGCCAATTTCCGACCGTGTCCAATCACTGTTTTCAATGTGTGCTCACATAAAAGGCTCTATTTTACGAGTTTGTCCAATAAACCGGTGTCAATACGACTTATTTGCTTAGGAAGCCAATAAATTGAAGTGTGGATGTCTAAGAGTGTTTCACACGTGGCGCGTTGGTTTTGCCAAAAGTCCAACATCTAAGTAAAACACTTTAACCGTTAAAAACGCGAAATATATTAGGTAAGTAAAGTAAGGTATAGTAGAAACTTGAAAGTAGTATTTAAAAGATGTTAACCAATATGTTTCACGTTTCAACCAGTTAAAACGCGATTTCTAAAGTTAAAAGTGTATATAGGCATATAAAGTAAACCTCAAAATGTTTACCGCGCTCTTGTCATAACTTATGATCTAATGGTTATTCCATAAGTTGACGAGTTTCATGCGCGCTCGTTCTGAACTCGCCTGAAATATCGGCTTCAGAATGTGAATTATACGCATGTCGAGGGTTACGCATTTTATCAACTGATATATAGAAGAATTTTACCGTTGGGGATGTTTGGTTAGTCAGGTTGTTTATTTTTGACTTTTTACTACATATTTATATTCATAATTAATACAAATGCAACGGTTCAAAAGGAAGAAAGAAACAGTTTTGATATCACAAACTTGTAAATTATTTAAATAGCCGCAAAATTTACCAATTAACCTTAATTTAAAAACATTAATTACTCATAGACTAAGTTATCTAGTAGGTTTCAGATGACAAAGGGCCCTTTAACAAAATTGTGCACATGATACTGTTGTGTTATATGATTAATATTACAAGATATGTTATGGCTGTTACCTAGTGACGTCTGAAAGCGACAAATATAGTATACTAGCTGTGTTAGCGACTTCGTCCGCGAAGAATGGTTTTTCGTTTTTATAAATTTTGAGCATCCGAATTTGTTTTTGCAAACCTCC